ACGAGGATGATCAGAGGGATGGAGCACCTCTTCTGTGAAGACAGACTGAAAGAGTTGAGGCTGGTCAGTCTGGAGAAAAGAAGGCTCCAAGGAGTCCTTATTGTGGCCTTCCAGCATCTTAAGGGGGCTGCAAGAAAGCTGGTGAGGGGCTTTTTAGGATGTCGGGTAGTGATAAGACTAGGGGGAATGGATTTAAGCTAGAGATGGATCAGTTCATATTGGACATTAGGAAGAAGTTCTTCACCAGGTGAGACCCTGGCACAGGTTGCCAAGAGAGGTGGTGGAGGCCAAGTTCTTAAGGCCATGTTTGATGGGGCTCTGAGCAACCTGGTCTAGTGAGCGATGTCCCTGCCTATGGTGGGGCGTTGGAACTAGATCACCTTTAAGGTCCCTTCCAAACATGACAATTCTATGATTATATGATTCTATGATTCACTCTGCATATTTAAGGTTTCTGCTATACTGCCATGCTTTTGTATAGCCATATCTAAACTTTCCTCACAATTCTTTTATGCAGACTTCTCTTTTCAATCTTTGTCTTTCCTGCTATCATTTTTTTTGCCCCAAAGTTGTTACATTGTCTTTCATCTTTCTTCATTTCCCTCTTTTGCTTTATTATTTTCGTAAATCATCTACTCTACACTATTCTAGTCTATTCTGCCCCACCCTAGCCTACCCTAGCCTAGCTTACCTTAGCCTGCTGTAGTCCACTCATCTGCACTTATTTTCACTACTCAGCTCTACTCCATGCCCACTTCTCTACTTATTTATTCTTTTTGTCTTGGTGTATAAACGACCCACAAAAGAGAGATACGGTCCTGAGTGACTAAAAGGAAAACATCTTCTAGCTGAACACTGAGATATAATGAAAGAGACTCCATTCAAGTAAATGGTAAAACACCCTTTATTCCCAATTGCATATGGTTTTCATTTTCACAAGATAAGGGAATCTAAATGCTATTCCCAGATATTCTGCCAAAATGTCTACAAAACATAGAAAGATCTCTTTGTAAAAGTTGCAGTGCATTGGCTCTCCAACTTAGACAGAAGTCAATTTGTTCCAGAAAAAAACCCTGAAAAACTAGAATTACACACTGGTGCTCTACAAGTCAAAAATTATGAATATAATTTTCTGTTGCTTCTTCAGATGAAGTTTAAAAAGTGGTATTCTCCCATAATACTATCTAAGCTTTTGACAGAAGCAGCAAAGAGGAAAAATAGTGTTCCCATGCAATAAAAAACTTGAAATATGTATTCTCCTAAGTGTTTTTTAGTAGTCATCAAAAATTAATTACTTATGTACAGGACAACTATATCTTAATGGCTTTCTATACTCAAAAGACATAAATTCTGTTTGGATATTCTGACAAACAGCAAAGGAAACCTGAACTTGTTTTTACCCAGGGCATTTGCGTTGTCGACTGCTGATTCCAGTGTTGCAAGTACGGCTACAAGTGCTCCACGCGCTCCACTCCCCCTCCATATTCTCCGCAAAAGAAGTCCGATTGATACACTCTCCAGCCTTACACCACTAGGTGAAAATTCAGCTCTTAGGTAAATTAATCAAGGCATATGCAAAAAAATTCACTGCTCCACATGCACATGGGAAGCATAGCACAAACATTTCGTTCAATGCACAGTTTTCATATGAGTTGTACGTATTTTTTCCTGTTGTTCCCCATAGCCTTTTTTCCTATGCTAGTAAATACAACAGCCGGAGGTCTTTCTGTGGTTCAGTCGTCAAGAAGCATTAGCAACTTATCCACAAGCCTGAGCATAAGTTCATTCCCGATATAGGATGCCCTCCTCGAATAGCCTGCTGGCAATGTCCCCTGCATTTGAGCCTGGGAACTGCCTAGGAAAGCGCTTTTGGGTCCAGCCCAAGCCCACAGCACAGTGTTCAGGGCTGTTCTCAGGACAATTTTGGTTCACTATTACAGTTTCCACATAACCAGCAGGAACTGCATTGTCACTGATTATCCAGTGACAGTTTCAATAGAAGGATATATTGCAAGTAATAGAGAAAATGAAATTTTACTCATAACTTGTATTCAAAGAGAGAATGGAATCCTTAATAAGCTTAACTGAGAAAGTCAAGAGAATTTCTGGCATTTATTTAAATAATAATAATCACCTCAATAATCTTGTATGCATACATTGTTTCCCAGGACAACTGCAATTTCTTGCTCAAAAACTATTTAACAACTATTGTTATGCCCTGTAACCTATGTCTGTATCTGGTATAAATCATCATAATTTTGCAGAAACAAGCACTTTATCAATTTACACCAGCTGAACATCTGTATTGTGAAATTTCAGCAATTGCAGAGCAATAAGGCTACAAGTAGACAACGAACACAATATCATTAATATTAGTAATTTAACTCATTTCTCTTTGCACTCTGACTTGAAGTACTATTATCAATGGATAAACTTCATTAAGAACCATTATATTATGAGCAAAACAAAACATATCACTAATACAGTCAACAACAGCCTTTATGACTTTTAGAATACTCTTCCACTACTTGCAGTGCCTGTGCTAAATCCTTGTCTGGTGATCTCAAACTTCACCTGCAGTTTCAAACTGGTCTTCACACATCGATTGCTCTTGATTTTCTCTCTTAAATCATGGCATAATTCACCTTTGAAAAGTCTTCACACAGGATGGCTCCATCATTATATTGGATTTGCAATTAGAAACTCCAAATTTTGTAATGCTCTTAGATGCTTCAGACCAAAAATACTTATTTTTTAAAAGATATTCCTTCAGATATAATAGGCAACATTTTTTTTTCTCCAATGATATCATCTGCCTTATGCAGAGTCTGAGGGATGCTTATAAATCCTTGACATAAAAAAATTACCAAGTTGGACAGGTTATGCAAATGACATTTCCATCATGTTCTATCATCTTAAGAGGAGCATAAGACAACAATATTCCATCTCTACAATAAAAGTAAAACAAAACAAAGACAGTGATTTCTGCAATTTGAAGGTCATCTTTGGCAGCTGATAAACAAGGAGAATAATCGCTTCTAATCTTTTGAGATGTTTCAGTGATGTTTGCTTTGCTTTGACTGCTAGACGTAAGGTGTCTCTGTAGTATGCCACAAGGCTCAATGAGACGTTCTCATTATAATCAGTACTTTGTCTTACTCCTTACTAGCTAAGCTCTCTACATCAAAGAGAATGGTGTTACCTTACTCACTGGACTTTCCCAGGACCTACCATATCATAATGCTCCCAGAAGTATAAAGTTTGAATGAGTCCTGCAATGAGTTGCTACTACCATCTTTTGCAAGTCAGACATTAATACACAACAGACACACCAACTTCAGGTGCCCAGTTCACAAGGGCAATTTTTTCACAATGAAAAGCAAAGTGATGTCTTTTTATTCCATACCATAGGCACTCCAGTCTCAATGTACGAAACGTGACATTGAACATAAGGCATGTCCCTGACTTTCTCAGTATTGACTTAAGACAGAATATCAACTATAGATGTTTATCAGAAACAAAAGATGGCAGCAAAAGTCCTTATTTTAGAGATGATAAGAAAAATGAATAAAACCTTTTCCTTTAGCATGTAAAATGATACTATCTGAACATTTTATCTTACTCAGCTGATTGATATTTTTACTTTTTTAGAGGAACGAGGACAGTCCTGGTGAACACTGTATGATTCAAAGAGCAAATCACTCCTATGGGAGGCTGCTGTCAGCACTGTATCATGAAAATCCCAGGATACATGCACGCTCCTGCTCTGTTATCTACTCGAGGTTATTTATCTTTATTTACAGTTATACACAGAAATGACATATATTATTCAAATAGGAAAGCTCTTGAATGTCATTTAATCTAAGTCTGACTTTAGGTGACTACTTAATTTGTCTTTGACGGCACACTTTTAATAGCATTTATCACTCTTTTACCACCGAGACTATAAATATTTCTTTACAAAACTTATCTTGAAAAGTTCTGTCACAAGTCTGAATCAATTCCTCTGCTGAGACTATTTCTAAATCTTAAATCTCAGCTGAGAACTTCATATGTTTGAAAGCTTATGTTTCTGTTTACAGTAAGCAGTGCAAACAATAGCATTCCATTCACAAATAAGAGACAAAACCAGAACAAATTTAAAATAAAACAATATTAGCATTAAAACATATGTGTCTTTGGCTAACTTTTTAAAAAACCAGTATTTTTTATGGAAATGTACTTTTTTATCATGTTTATATTATATGTTATACAACAAATGATACAATCAAATATATGTACGATTTTCACAATAACTGAGATAAGCAGAAACTTTAATCAAGCACACAGACCTATTCAGCTGGTTTCCTGAACTATTAGGTATTTAATTTAATATATATTGTTATTCCACCTGAAACATACCTTTCCAGTGTCACAGTCTGTTCCATCCATTGGTGGATCCAGCTTAGTTTTGCATTCATTCTCGCCTTCCACCTTACACCACAACCCAGTGCAAATGACGTGCTGAAAACCAAACACACAGGTTAGCAAAAAATCTTGTCTGATGCAAAATTACTTTATGTATGTAATCCACTAATGTTGGCATAATGTTACCAGTTTGATGGTACTGAAGCATGGTTAAAGACAGGTCAAACATGCACCCCTCACTGGTAAACCGGTGGAAGTGAACAGAGGTCACGTGGGCTCAGTTGTAGTTTTAAAGTTATTGCATGTGCAGGCTGATTTGCCACAAGTATGTATAATATTCCCAAAGAAAGGCAAAAACGATCAAGAGAGAGGGATGGGTCCCAAGGAGAATAAAAAAAATAAAAATCAGCTGATTTTTGCAACCACAGTTGTCAGATGACCAAAACGATTTGTTACATTGGTAAACTCAGTAAGAATCTCTGTGCCTTTTACACTATGCATGAAAAAGGTGTGATAAATTTTACTCCACCTTGAAAAGACAGGAAACATAATTCAACAGAAGATTTTGTCTGAACCAAGGAACAAGACGGTTCCAGCGGGAGACTTGTTTTTCAAAAATGCCTGCAACATCAGCTTTCAAAAAATGACAAAAATTGTAAAGACCTGAAGCACTGCACAGAAAGTAGAGACAGGATGCCAGCAGTCAGACGGACTCCTGATTCATTCTGTAACAGTTTTCTGTGGAAGCGGGACTAACAAGACAACAGTTGGACTATGCATATGCTAAAATATAGCTACAGAAGTCTCATTCCATTCCTGGATAATTTTAACAAGTAGTTTTCAAATATCAAATGATAATATCTGTTCTTGTTTGGGGGGGAAAGAAAATTTCTTCTTTTTTTTTTAATACACACTTTAAGAAAAAACTTCAGAGTCAAGAACCAAACTTAGCAAGAAGACTTATGGGGCAGTTTTGGAAGACAATGTAGATAAGACACAGAGTATCAGATGTTATTGACATACTGTTTCCATACCAACTATGAAATGACAGACTATACTGCTGCAACAACTCCACAATGCTAGTTTAATGTTCCTAATTCAAATATATTTTTTCATATCCCTAAAATTTCATTTGTTAGTGACTATATTTGAGGAAAAGGCACCCAGGTCTTCATAAAAAAATAAAGTCAAATTTTCCTTTATGTCATCATATTTAATGTATGGTATCCTTTTACTTTCCTGAACAATGTGATGTTGGGCTCAATTTCACCTGATTTTGACTGCTGAATGGCTTGTAACAAACCCACAGTTCCTTTCAAATTCTAAAATAATTCTTTTAAACTTGGGAAGACATAAAATCAGATTTACAAGTATTTGGGTACTTGAACACACAGATGCACCTGAGCTCTGTAAAGTAAATGAATTAAGTCAAATCAAGACGCTTGACTTATGGATCAGCTTTGTACACATCTGCATGTTTCTGCAAATACTTGTAGACCACTTCATTATGAACCATGAATCTAACTTCCCCAGCTAGAAAAGTCTTTGAGCTTTAAGTGAACTGTATTCGAAAAACACTCACTTGTCTTCAAAAATCATTACAATAAGTATACAATACTACTATATTTCATCTTAGACTTTGAGAGTCCCCAAACCCAAGAAAATGGAGACAGGGAATTATTAAAATTGGAGGATGACTTCTAAGACTTTTCCCGGGCTTTCCACTTTCAGTCAAATAGCAGATAGACTCTAGTCGTTCTTCAAATCGTACTTCTGCTGCAGAAGTAAGAGAAATGGAGACTACTGTTATCATTTAACTTTTGATTTTTGGGGATTTCCTCATGCGGCTGGGGAAAAGACACAAACTGTTTTTTTCATTAACAGCCTGAAATGCTGCAGATCAGGACTGATACAAAAACAAACAGAAATATGGAGGCCAGTGTCAATACTACAGTCACTCCAAATCAGAGCATGAGCTTCGAAACCAGAAATTTAAGACTTTGAGGAGAAAGGTTCACTCTGTCAAAATCAAGATAGTTAATGTTCACAGAGGTTTACTAGCTATCTATCCTAAGCACAGTTCAACAATCATTAAAGTTTTTCAGACTAGCCAAGGGAAGTAAAAGTTACTGGAGATTATAAACTTATACTCCTGATATTAGACTACTCACAATCTGTAAAATATTTAATTGGGTGTACACTGGAAGAAAAATGCTTCCCAGCACACATGAACCATTTTTTCCTAAAATAATGTGTTAACCACGAGTTTTTAACAGTAAAAGCTTGTAAAATGCAACATGAAAGTCACTATGTACTACAGAAATAGCAGAGATCATTTCAGCCTCTGAGTTTTGGGTTTTTTTGAATTAAAAGAGTGAGGCAGGTCTGTGTGTAACAGAATGATACTTTTGCAACCATATAAGCATCTTGAAAGAAGTTCTAGGAAAGACCAGAGACAAAAAGAGTATTTCAGAGCTGTACTTGTGCAAAGTCAAGACTGTTTAAAGTGTAGTAGTGGAGACGAGGACAGATATTTCACCAGGGCTATAGTATTTCGATGACTTTCATTCTTTTCATTGTGATCTTTCCCTGAAATGCTCCAAAAATCACCGTGAAATATAACCAGTCTCCTACTTCTTTGCACAGATCACAGCTGTGTTATGACAAGAATTGTTTTAGTGGAACTGACTAGATAGCATTCGCATCCTGGACTTTAATCTTAAAAGCCAACATTTAATAGTTCAACAATAATATTAAATTGTCAAGTTCTACAATCACATTTAATCACCAAGAACTACTTCTGGGCCATGATCTCACTATCTGTTATGTGAAACAATGTTAAGGTCTAATTGATTCTTGTGTGAGACATCATGGGCATAAAAGCAAACTTGGCTCCTTTACAAGATAAGCATGGCGACATGGTATAAATCTTGTACTCTGAGATCCACTCACACTTTTCTCAGACTCTATAAATTTTGCTTAAGGTATAAAGAAAAAGTCTTTGAAATAAAGATGAAAAGGAAAAAATAAAGTCTGGACGCCATTCATGAAAGAGGAGTGGGAGGAGCTTACTTAGGAAAACAGGGGAGTAGACCCTCAGTGGTCTCTTCAGTCTTTTGCTTTAGCCATTAAATTATAAAGAGGAATTCCTCATTGCACAGGAAAATCACTGGCATGTGCAGTGTTTCTCAGAGATTGCCATATAATGTGACTGTAAATTGTCCTGAAATGCTGCTCAGTAACAACATTTGTAGAAAATTACCTCTCAGCAGAAATTCATTATTGATTGTGCTACGGATATTTGGAGATTATTTTTAGATCATTAAGACAATTATTCTTCCTCATTACTCAATGGTTTTCCTAGTTGCAGGCTGTTACATGAAATGTACTTGCTTAACGTAAAAAGACTGCATGAAAGCCTGGTCACCAAATTAACTTGCAGCCACAAAAAATGTAAGACTCTGACATAGTTCGTAATTGACCCTTTACACAGTTACACTGAAGTGCACGAACTGTTAAGCAAGTAGAATGTATCCAAAAGATTCTGGGTATAAATTGTTGGATTTACTGAAGTTTAAATAAACCTTCAAGGAGTACGTTTCTGTCTCATTTTCTGGCACGTGAACAACAACTGTAACCACAGTAAACTGTCAGTTATTGGCACAGTAGAAGAAAGTATAAAAAGATAAAAGAAAATAGTTTGGATTTCATGGAAAATTCAGTGGTTGCCAAGGTATAATAAAATAATTATTCTAATAAATTAATACTGTAACTACACAAATACCGTATTCAATTTAGAAAAATCTTGTGAATGTTGACTTCTCTAATGGCAGCCACAATAACATACACAAACAACACAAGGGAACTTTGAGTCATATAATTATTCAGTAGATGAAACTCAACATACTTGCTAATTTTATCTGACAACCTCAGGAATATGAGGGAGATGATAAAATTAGCTACTAACAGCACTTCAGAGTTAGACAATGTTGGTGTTGCACAGTTGATGTAAAAGAACTCATGAAGGATTTCTGGAAAGCCTATATAGCTTGGTTGTAGCCTAATCTAAATGGCAGCATGTTTCTTCTTACTCTTCATATGTAGAAGAAACATATTTAAGAGCAGCATGGCTTTCTTATCCTTCGGGCTGTGCTCCACTCATTGCTTTGAGTTTCCTCTCAAAATACTGTAAATTTCCCTAACAGCAGAGCTAAATTTAAGACCCACAGCAAGGATCAAAAGAAGGAGATATATTCTGATATATACATACATATATATATATATATATATACACACACACTGAATACAGTGCCTAAGCTTGCTGTAACTAGGTCTCCAGGTTTACAGTTTGACTATCAATTTCTTGGATTTTCTGTTGGAAGGAAAGTGGGAGTGTGAATTTTGCTTCCAGACAAAGGAATGTAAGGAAAACCAACAACATGGTGACTTTATAGAGGTTGGCAATGGAGCTCTGGAGAACAACTTTTTCACAGTGCCCTCACCAGAATTTCTATTAGTGTCTTTAATTAATTTTTACATGATTTATAACAGGTTCAAAGCTTTTAAAGATGCATCACAATAATCTTGTAGTTCGGGATTTGCTTAAGTGATTGCCAGTTCAGGGTTACCAGTTTGGCAGAGGATTTTCATGAAAGTGCAGAAGATTCTTCCCCTTGCTCTCTTCTCAGAAGTTGTTATTGAGTTCCCTTTTTCTTATTGCTAAGAGCATTAGGTTATCGAGCAACAGATTTGGTTTATGAATAAAATGGGAAATTAAACTGCAATTTGTCCAAAAGCAGGAATAGTTGAAAAGACCACTGTGTTGTCTTGCATCATTACTATTTTTTTCTTCAAAGCGAGACTGCATATTTTTGGATTTAAGTTATAATGGTACTAATATTTAACAGGAATTTTTGTAAACTAGCCATTTCAATATAAAGTAACGATCCCGTTAGTGGGGAAAAAAAGGATGACAGTGATTGAGATTAAATGTGTCCTCTTCAGAAAATATCAATAGAGGATAAAATAACTGAAGTTGATTAAAAATGGACAATGAAGTATCAGAATCCAGAACCTAAGCACTCTCCATGCAAGCAGCTGAACACTATCAGTTAACTGAATTTAACTTCCTAACATTTCTGAAGTAATAATGAAAATCCAAGAAGCCTTAGAGTCAGGCCCCAGGAGAAGAATAGTCAGTGCATCTGTGAATGAAACACAGCAGGCATGGCACCACTTGGCTATCTGAATGGAAATGCCTGAATTAGATCTAAATACAAGGATATTAAAGGAGGGGAAATGTCCACAGAAGTGAAAAGCATATAAAGGTATTATGCAACAGCAAGTCTCCAGGTTTTACTACCACTTCAGTTACTTTAAAAATTCTTTTACCTGGTAAAGAAGACCTGGAAGAAATATTGGGCTAACATTGTACCATTTTCTTGTTCAAAATAGAGTTCTCTGTACCACTGTTCAAAATAGGTTTCTAGAGAATGAGAAACTAAAATCACATCTTTTAATTGAAAGCAAGGCACTAAAAAACAAGAAACAGATTGTGATTAAAGGAAAAAGTGCTTGGAAGTAATCAAGAACGTTTGTCGAATTGTCACATTGAGTTCTACTGCTCATCTCTCAGAGTGGAAATGTTTTCAGTAAGACAGTTGAAACAATAAGTAGAAACCTAGAGTTCCTAACGTTTTCTTTTTTCAGCTACACCACTCTCAGCATGCAGTAGTCATACATATATTGCAATGTATCCTTTGAAAATCTTTAGGATAAAATTTACTTTCAGCGAAACTTGCTAAAGACAGACTACTGTGCCCAGGCTGAAAAGGAGTAAGAGATTATGCTTTCATATTAAATACTCCTGACCTTTCCAGGCTATTTGTCCACTCAATTCTCATGAAATTTTATTTCCGTTCCTCCTAGACTCCATTCTATCAGCCCATACTCCATGCTTTTTATACATTTGTAGTATTATTTACCCACCCAGTTCCCTTTTCAAGGGCATCCAACGTATTTAAGTACCTATCCTGTTGAAGTTTAAGAAGGATCCCTACATTAAAACCATTCATAACATGCTTCTTGAATGAGATACGTACTAGCATCAGGCCATAAAAGTATGAACACCTCTTCAATTTTGTTAATCTGTCTTTTATATAGTGACTCTCTTTCACGTAATGGCATGAAGCAATGTCAGCAAACTCACTTAAGCACTGAACCTCCGACTCCCATGGCACTACACAGCTCTGTCAGGGCTCACAAGGAACAGCCACCACCACTGTTCTCCCTCGGGACATGCACAGGTACAGCGTACTCTACTGAAGGTCAGATATGGAGGTTCAATATCCAAAACAAAAAGAAACCTACATGTAAAATCTGGTCCCGGGGAACAATGTCAAATATTCCATTTGCTGCACCAAGATGATTTCACACCAGGATATTTTCTATTTCTAAAGTGCAAGGAATACATCAGTGGTATGATACGATACAACATGATCGAGGATGTTTGGAGATCCAAGGCAAGTCTTACAATGATAAGCAAATGAAAACGTTCATATCAACTTCAGAAAACAAAGTGTAAACTTTTTGAGTCAAATTTGCTGTGCTCTCTTTCTCTTGATCACATACACAAAAATATCTCTCATAGAAAAATAAGTTGGTAGGTCTATTTTCCAAAGTATGTATCCACCCTTACCTGCATTTCTTGGCAAAATGAAGCGGTTGGTCCAAATAGAATCTGACACTGTTCATCTGCAGTGTATGTCATTCCTGGGAGCTTGGAGGGAATAATCACAGAATTGAGGCTCTGAGGATTCGTCTGTAGCAGACAGTTACTGGCCTTTGACCTGGCAATATGCAGAGATTTATATGCTGAGCAATCCTAAAGAGTCTGATTGTCACGCCAACTTAAACACGCATTTGACATTAGAAAAATGTGCACTCTTAAGTTTTTTTATTTGTCAGCATTCGGCTGTCATTCAGAGAAATGACTGTATAAATTAATAAGACTTACTTGATGTAGTTAGGAGTGTGTTCTGATGCACATTTACAGAAAGATAATATAATATATCAGCTATAAAAGGCATTTCAGAAAAGGACTGGACAATATCTGCTGTAAAATCTACTTAACTGATTACAGGTTGGATAGAGTTTTAAACATTTTTTTAAAAGTAGACAGTATATAATGCATAGACAGTTGTGTAGCCTTGTCTTCACATGTGGCAGGACCTCAGGTTGATCACTTCAGATTACATACATACACATTTAAAAATAACACACTTGTGCGCTGATAGCCAGAAATTTAACTTTTCTAAAAAACTGATGAAAAAACATTTGAAAATATTTCCCTCTGTTAAAGCATCAAGTCATGGGTTTGATTTCCATCTAGATTCCATACAAATGCATCAAACTGCCACATCGACTGAAATTATTTCAGTATCATGAAGCAGACTTTATGAAGACTGCTGAACTGTTCTCAACAGAATGTATTTATAAATTTAGTACAGGAGCAGAGCTTTAGAGAACAGATACTATTTAAGAGACATTGAGTGAAACTGCATGTTTTAATTTGACTTCATTATACTGCATGGTTTGATACTGAATGCCATAACATAGGTCAGAGAATTTGCATAATGTTCATAAGTCATTCACTGTACAACATTCTTCACAGCATATTAATATATTTTAAATATATTTGCATATATCATAGAATCATAGAAGGTCTTAGATTGGAAGGGACCTTAGAGACCATCTAATCCAACCTCCCTCCATGGGCAGGGATCTCCTTAACTAGACCAGGTTGCTCAAGGCCTCATGCAACCTGGCCTTGAATATATCCAGGGAGGCGGCATCCACAACCTCACTGAGCATATTAAAACATATGTAAGTATAACCATATACATTAAATATACATGAAAATATAAAAATACAAATAATTGCTAAGAACAGATATTAATCAATACGTCAAATATTACATAGTTCACGTTTTAAATTCTTTGATGGATGATGCAAACACGCATCTACCACTGAAGTAGCAGAAAATATTGAAAACTTGTTATTTCAGGATATTTATTGCAATTATTTATAAATGACATACAGTAAGAGTTCTTTTTCTTGAACAATATACCTGAGAAATCTTTCCAGATCTTCCCTGCTGCACCGAGACCATGAAACATCTCCAAGATTCTGTCCTTTAATCCACTCCCCAGACATGATATGGAGACCATCTGCACAGGATGGATGGTCATTGTCGTGGTTTATCCCCATGCTGAATGTTGAAGTTATTAAAAATAAACCAAAGCACAAAAAATAACAAGTTATTTTCAAAATGTTTAGAAGTTAAAATTCTTGCAAGAGGCTATAAAAAGTTCACATACATTACATGTAGAAAAATCTCTTTTCATGATACCTTTCACTGAAGTGGAACTGTGTGTGGACGACAATTCTGTACTCAAAGGTGAAAGGGATGCCTCACTCATTTGATGAGAACTACTGCATTCAAATCAGCTCTAAAACTGATAGTTTGTGCAACTTTTTAAATGTTCAGAACTGCATAACTGCTGCAGGTTTAATGAATTGTATTTCTACCCCTAATGGGCAATAAAAATACTGGAAATTTAGTTGTTGAGATCAGTGAATTGTTCAGTGTTTTGGCAGTGATTCTATCTTAATTTCATATGGAACTGGTTTGTTAAAATTTTATAGACTAAATGCTTAAAATGCTTACGAGCTTGATGCGTAACTATTTTATCGCCTAAATGTGTTTTCAATGTCTACTGTTAGAAATAACACCAATGAAACAATTAAATGGATTTTGATTTTAAAGGCTCAGCGTACATGTGCATCCCAGTGAGTTCTTATGTAGAACACTACAATGAAAAATTCTACTAAAAAATTGCTTGGAGCTGCTGCTTTAACAGAATTGAAGCCCCACTGCTGCTCTCATTCACAACCAGTAAACAGAGAGGAAAATGATAAACTTAAACAAAAATAAAGTTTTCAGAATTATCTAAGTGGATATATGCTTAACCAGCATCACAAGAAGTACATTAAATACTTTCTGCTGGTTTTCACAATTTGTAAATGAGCGTGGAACTACTCTCCAGCCCACTGGACTCAGAGTAGCGCTAGAATTTTGCAGTCCTAGTCTGCTCTGCAGAAAAGTGAAACTTAAGACTGAATGAAGTTTTATACCTTTTATCAATCCCTTCCACCACAGAACAGTCAAATCACTTAGAGACTTCAAAGATAGGAGAAGAATGACGCTTCCGCAGAAAAACTAGAGTGCGTGATGCTTCTCCATGTTTCACCACACTGCAGTGCCAAAGAGCAAAAGAGGCTTGCCCCTCACTGCTGAAAACACTAGCTTGCTTTTCTTGTCTACCCTGTCCCAAAACCCACTTACGACTAGATCAAATTTTTTATTCCTTTGCAAGCTGCGTTACCTTGAGTTCAGTAATGAAATGAATTTAAATGCCATGTAGGGCTTTATGTTGCTATCAGAGTGCTCAGTCTCTTACAGGGATGCGTACACCCCATATCTGAAGCACTGGACTAGCTGCCTCTGCATGAATCAGATAATATTCCTGTCAAAAGTGAAACCAAAGTAAACAAATCTGCCTGATTCTCAGCTTCTGAGACCACCCAAAACAACTGCACCAAACTGCCTTTGCACTTTCCTTACACTATTACACACCTCGTACGCAGAACTTGGGATGTCCCTATCTCCAGAGTCATAAGAACTACATCCAATACAGAAAATCTAATGACACTTTGCTGACTGCAAAGAAGCAGATTTTGCTTACAGCTTTTCCAGTTATACACTTCCTAACTGCAAAAATATTCACTTAGCAGTATTAAATATATATATGGTTTGAAACAAAGCATTTACAACATACAGGTACACAAAATCTTGTTGACACAACTTATTATAGAATTGACGGCTCCCATTTATGCACAGTGGGAATTAACAAATTTCTACATTATTCAAAACACTTAAAATTTTAAAAAAATTTAAAAATATTAAATTCTGGTTACTATTATTTCCCGTCCACTCTGAAGAGTGATCATTGAATCACAGAATCATAGAACAATTCAGGTTGGAAAAGACCCTTGGGATCATCAAGCCCAACCATTGACCCTACACCACAAGGTCACCTCTAAACCATATCACCCAACACCCCATCTAAACGACACTTGAACACATCCAGGGATGGCGACTCAACCCCCTCCCCAGGCAGTCTATTCCAGTGTCTGACCCCTCTTTCCGTGAAGAATTTCTTCCTAATGTCCAGCCTAAACTTGCCCTGTTGCAACTTGAAACCATTCCCCCTGGTTCTGTCCCTAATTCCCTGTGAGAAGAGACCAGCACCAACCTCTCCACAATGTCCTTTCAAGTAATTGTAGAGCATGATGAGATCCCCCCTCAGCCTCCTCTTCGTCAAACTGAACAGACCCAGCTCCCTCAATCGCTCCTCATAAGGTCTGTTCTCCAGGCCCTTCACCAGCTTTGTTGCCCTCCTCTGCACTTGCTCCAACACCTCAATATCTCTCCTATACTGAGGTGACCAAAACTGGACACAATACTCAAGGTGCGGCCTCACCAGTGCTGAGTGCAGAGGGACAGTCACCTCCCTTCTTCTGCTGGTCACAAAATTTCTAATACAAGCCAGGATGCTGTTGGCCTTCTTGGCAAGTGAGACTTTATCACAAACTAGTCTCTAAAATCACCTGGAAAAATGTGTCCTGAGCTGAACCAAGATCTTCACTGTTTCAAAAACCAAAAAAGCCTTCTTTGTCAATCTACTACCACAGAAGCATTCTGGATAGACTACTGGTACATGAATTCTGAGGACAACATTGTATTTTAAAGCAAGAAGTGGTAAAACCTGTTGCACTTATAACAACTGTGTATATCAACAACAATAAGCACTGATAAAAAAATCTAATTCAACTGTTTTCAAATTCTTCAGCAGCTATGCTTTTGTAACACCTCCTATTCTGCTTTGACAATAAAATACAGTTCAAAGTATCTGCCCTAATCCAACAGGTTGATTCCTTATTATGCCTCCACCTCTGAACTAAGTACATGTAGCAAAATGTCCAGCAAGTAGTAAAGACCGTTACTGAAGCCTTTGACCATCAGAATGAATAGCTACTTCAGAAGGGATGTACGAGCCACGATGTTAACATCGACTAATTAAATTGGAAGACAATATCTGAGAAGTATGCTAAAGTAGCAACAGCATCTGCTCTTACATATTCTCAGACATCTTTTCCTCACTATGTACTGCTGATCTCTTCTATAGCGTGGTAATGACTAAATACTTTTATCTGACCTAGCATCAGTTACAACATCATGCAAAAGTATACACACAGTATATGACTTCTTCTGAAGTGCTATCAGCTTCTGATTTCTTTCACCATGTCACATTATCTGTGTGGTGCAAGAAAAAAGCTGTTACCATTGTTATCTTCCTACCCAGCAGCACAGTAAGTAATGTAAGCTTGTATATCTAATTCTTCATTAACAATCAAGGATGTAACAACATTTCCTGCTCACACTGGTGGCCATGTTATTCTCTAGACTCCACCACTGTACTGTCTTCATGAAAGAAGAGTTTCACTAAAACAAAGGCACTGCAGAAACTCCATCTGAGTGAGGTGCTGTTATGTGCTCTTCCTATTGAATTTGTTATGCTAGCATCGGGCACATTGCCCTCTGTCCATAAGCTCCTCTCTCCCACAGCTGTGATCACTCAACCTTATGTAAAAGCAACACCGTGTGCATGAGGGAGAGAGACAAGGGAGCTTGGGGTAGAGAGGGTAACTTTGCAACAGTCTGAAAAAAAACATAATTAACAAAGAAGACAGAGCTGTACTTTACCAAGTAGTAGATCATATCTATACGAAAATAAATCAAAATCTGTTTTAAGAACAGAAGCACTGGGGTTTTTTACTGGTATATAAAAATGCTCCACCCATTCTGGTTAAAGACTGTATATGGCAGAGACAATAAGAAAGCAAGAACCATCCTGTGGAATGCTTTTTTTAAACTAAATATTAGCAATATTTCAACTAACACTATGCAACTAAACTATATTTCAGTAATCCAGTTTAAAATATATTGACAAAAAGCCTTGGTCAAATAAACTCCGCTAACATTATACATGGTTGTCAAGTCAACTGAAACAGTATTTTAATCCAATAAAACTTCTAAAACTTGTTTAAAAAACAATGCCAGATTTGTTTTTCTGAGATATGCAGAAAGTTGGAACAATCCCTGATAAATTTTGAAGATAATCCCTGTTGATATTAAATGTGCCGTGGGAATAGTATAAAATAAAGTCCTTAATTTCTGTACTTAGAAGTCATAATTAACAATTGAGGCCACTGAAAGTAGGAGACAAATAATAGTTGTATTTTTCAGTCAAAAAGTAATTATTTTACAATTCATTATTACTGCAATTATATGCGTACGGCTGAATTCTAGATAGACAGCAACATCTTTCCTGCCATCAAGGGAACAGATTATATTCTTGCAGGCACAAAAGGTATTCCAGTATCAACTCAGATACCAAAAACGTACCAAGTACCACTTTTTGATATGATTATAGCTGCAGATTAAGAAATAAAACCTCTTTTAAGTCTCAGAAAAGGGGTCTTCACTCATTATGCTCCATGTGAATAAATTAAAAGACTATGCAAACACCTTCTGGAAAGAATTATGTCTGCATTGTAAAGTGCTATTTTACATTTCTTTTCACTATAGGACTCCAGAATTCTCCCACATCTGCTACACTCATGGCATCATGAATTTGCTCAGTGACCCCACACTCTTCTAGGTGGAAAGCTTTTCATTATTTATTCATTATATCGTGCTTCGCGAATAACAGATGATGACCTGGTTATCACCATCACATTCCACTTAAATGCATGGAAGTGCAGCTGAACAAGAATGATACTATTAAACTAGAAACAGACAAATATTAGTTCCATTTTTCAGTAAAAATAACACCACTTCTTTGGCTATCACAGACAGGGAGATGGAAGCTCCACTACTTTGATAGTGCTTGTATTGCACTTTTTCAGCAAAAACGTTTTATCATACTGCTATCTTTATAGAGAAAAACAGACTAGTAGCAGGTTTCTATAAGGAATTTTATAGAATGAATGCAAAAAAATATGTATTGCTATATGTTTTTGGCTTTTAAATTCCAGTTAGTGAAATAATAAGTCTAGTATGATTTTTTTTAAGTGTATTACAAC